TTTGTTTTTTTTTATTTTGTTTTTTTTTTTATTTTGTTTTTTTTTGTTTTTTTTTTATTTTTATTAGGAAAGAACTTGGATACCTTACGCTTAGGGGTCAATCAAAGCGATTTAAAGACAAACAAAGGAGGTAAAATGGGAAAACAGAGGGTTTGTTCTACAATTTTAAATTAATATTAGTATGCACGTGAGACGGGATATTTCTTTTTTTGTAATCAAATCTGATATTTTTGGTATCCTTATTGATTTTAATCAATAATTTCCTGTAGGTAGTGGAATTTTAACATTTAAATGTTTATTTACGAATCAAGTGCGGGAAGACTATGTTCGCGCATAAGGGCTTTAGAAGGAGCGAATGCTTTTAGTTGCGCGATTGCATGAAAGATATTTTCTCTTTCGAGTGCGAGAAGTTTATCTTCTCGCACGTAGAGAAATATAAATTGAAAAAAAAAGCAAGGTATACTTACCGCCGAGGCCTGGGTTTGAACCTAAGATCTTTGCGTTATGAGCCCGAAACCCTAACCACTACACCAATTCAGCACATAACATCGGTTTAATATATGTATACTTAAACTGTATGTTGTACCTAATGTCATTATACCGGTTAATTCTCTATTTTAGAAATAAATGCGCTTGTAGAAAAAATGTTGATCGTAACACGTGCTAGAAGCACTTTTACGCACTCACCTGCTTACCCGCACTCAGCTGCGCGTCGTGCGGGTAACGCAGTTTCGTGCGTAAAAGTGCATCTTCTAGCACTTGTTGCGATAACTACTTGTTGCGATAACTACTATTTACGCACAAAGTTTGTACAATATTATTTAAAACGATCAGAATTTTTATCATATAAATACCAGATAAAAATTTCATACAAATTTTAACTTAATGTTAATGTAAGCGAATTTCTGTATAAACCCAAATCCTAATTATGCCTGAATTTCTTATACTCCTGCTGAAATTCGAAAAGTTGAAAATGTTGCAATTTAAAATTTACTTTCTTCGAAATAAAAATGGTTTATTAAAAATGTATGTATCGTATGGTGTAACGGAAGAAAAAAATATTCCAAAATTTGCTTGTTGGCTAATTTTCAAAGATTTTCTAGCAATACATCTTTATGGCTTACTTATTATGTGCTAAATTCTTTTTTTTTTCTTCAATATTCCTGACAATATTGGTATTTTTAAATTAAATAAATTAATTCCTTTTCTGAAAATAAAAAGAGAATACCTGTCTCGGAAGAATTCAAAGAAGCTTCAGATTAGGTACTCATTTTTGTTTGTAAAACGGTATTATTCTAATTACTTCATATTTATTTCAGTGTATTTTTAATTATTACATTTTAATTAAAGTCGTATTGATAAAGGGTATTAGGTTAGATTAGGTTAAGTTTTTAGCTGATATTCCTTAGTAAAAACTATTTTTTACTAGTAACATCATATTTGGAATTTTAAGATTTGTCTGAAATCATTGGACAAACCTAGTTTAAATGGAAAATCAAAGCAAGGTTTTCTTAGTAAGATTGGGTTTTACCCCAAACTCAAGCATTTATGGAATACGTTACAAATCTTTTCAATTTATAGCTACCAGTCGAGATATTTGCAGGACAGTAATGTATCATCATTCCTTTTCTGTTGTTTCAATATTCCATTTGGAACTCATTTTTTCTCCCCTTTGAAACTAATCAAATAAAGGACACTGGGATATTTTTTTATTTCAAACAACCCGTCTCTAATCTTCGGGGATCTAACACTAAAAACACTAAATACTAAACACTACAAACACGAAATAAATATCATAGGGATTTCGCATTAAAAAAATATTTGCTTCAGTCAAAAATTATCTTTTTATTTTAAAAGATTTGCCAATAATTTACAATGTCAGGCATTGAGATAATGATGATCACTGCATGTTGATTGCAAATATTATAGATAACACAATTGATACCCATGGAACAACTGATTTTTAGTGATTTTGAAGAAGAGTCAGAAAATAATATATATAATTTGTTTGTTGTAGTGTAGTAGAGAAATAATTTGACACTCAAATACTTAAATAATAAACTGGAACATAGTAAATGGTTACTATTAAGATATACAGGTATTTTGGAATTTTATAGAGCATTGAAAGATACAACCCTGGTAGTCAATATCACTCTTCATAGAGTAAGATTATTGTAACTTATACAACTATTTTACACTCCACCACCAGATAATGAACTAGTATAACATAACTAATTTATCAATCTTATATTTGTCAAACTTTTTAATAATACTTTAATTTTTTTTTACATAATTGGTAGAGGTATCTCTTTAAATGCATATTTATGTAATTTATAATTTGACTTTTTTATTTGAATACTAACAGTTCTATTGATAGGTCAAATAGATCAAACTTGAGTTACTACTTTGTGAGGTGGGCCTATTAGAAAATCAGATTAATCAAGATGTTGTAGGATGTTAAAAATTGCATGTACATAGGACGATATTTGTAATTTAAAAATATCTATTATATACTTGGGCGAAAATATTAAGTTATTTAATCAATGTCAGGAAAAACTAGAAATTAATTCAATAAACGATTTAATAACTTTAAATTGAAAGGTAAAATTTGGAACAAAATAAAATTAGTTAGAAATAAGTGTTAAATGATTAAAAACAATAAAACGTAAATAAAATAATAGTAAAATAAAATAGATAAAATACTTAATTATTGCACGTATGAGATTGAGTACCTGAAATAAAAGAAAAACAAGTATGAGCAATCAAGTATACCAAAAGCAGTTTTATATTAAAGAAAGTCATGAAAAGGTGATATCCATAAATAAAATACTTATTATCCTTTTAATTAACAAGAAAATTATACTGATAACCCTTTATGTCAAAATATTGATTATAAAAAAATATAATTGACACAACTTTAAATTTTGCATAATTGAGAAAAAGTTATATTCTCAATTCTGTTGGCACTGACCGCAATGCCCAAACATCGATCGATATATAAAACAAGCCATTACTAGCACACTGACCGCAATATCACTAGCCCACACCAACCATGGTGCGACGACTCTGGGAAAACTTACCACAGTAATCCCAAAATAATTGCATACACTGACCGCAATGTACTACCCCAGAACAGACAATCTAACTCACTTAACTTTTGATTATACCTCGTAGAGGAAAACAAAATATAAGTAAATGGTCAAATTCAAATAAGTTTTAATTATTTAATATAACGTCGTTAATTTAGGATACAAGGTTTTCTCAATACTTGACAAAATATCTGCATGTCAAAATTGACAAATTAAATATAAAAGATTGATGGATAATAATTAATATAATTTGCAAATAAACTTGATTACAAACTAAAACAAAACTGAAAGACTGTCTAGAAGACCTGACAGAACTAAGTAGTCAAAATAAGGTGACCTTAGCCTGGGTTCCAGGCCATGAGGGATATCAGGGCAACGAAAAGGCCGACGAATTAGCCCGAGATGGCTCAGATAAGGCCATGACAGGCCCTGAACCCTTCTGTGGAGTTGCTAAGGCATTGTGCAAGGCATCCATTAAACAATGGATGCAAAAAGAGTCTCAGGAATGGTGGAACAACTATCCAAGACTGAGACAGGCCAAACAGTTCATCAAGGAACCATCGGCCAAGTTTACGAAAGACCTACTGGATCAAAAACGTCAAATCGTTAGGATAACAGTAGGCCTTCTTACTGGACACTGTCGCCTCAAAAGGCACATGGGTGTCATAAATCCAGCAGAAGAAGCAACTTTGTGCAGGTTCTGTGAAGAAGAAGAGGAAACATCATTCCACGTCCTGTGCCAATGTGAAGGCTTGGCTGGAATGAAGTTTCTAACATTGGGCGAAGAAAAGCCAATTGCATGCAACTACATGCGGGAGCCACTGTCAAAGCTACTAAGTCTAATAAAAAAGACCAGGCTAGACGACATACTCTAAAACAAACGGAGTCCCACAATAGATCTGAAAAGGTCGCGGTGGACAAGGACAAATAAAGTCCAACTCCTAATCTAATCTAATCTAATCTAAAACAAAACTAATTGATAAAACATAATTACTCAGTGAGAAAAACTCACCCTGTTCAGCAAACAGCCACTCACAAAAATTATAATTATTCACTAGTTTATTATTATTGAAACGAACTTTAATTTTGTTCCGCAAAGCAATTAACCCAAATTTAAAATGATCTGTATTTTATATCTGGTTGATATTTTACCCTTAGTTCACATATTCGTATCTTAATAGTGTTAACATAAACAGGCTGTAACTGTTTTGGGAGACAAATATTTCGTGCGTTTAAAAACCGGGTGTTTCGTAAAATAAAACCTATTAAATTTGTATAGAAAATAAAATCATTCTTACATGTACTAATATATCTAGATTTAGATCCAATAATAAAAAAAGGGTTGTAGGTATAATTGGAAAGATACGATCTTTGGTCTTGACTTTATGTTATGAAATTATTGAAATACTTTTTTATATTAAATATCACAAAATATATTAAAGATATCTAAGGATTTTGAAGATATCAAAGGATATTGAAGACATCAAAGGATATTGAAGATACCAAAGAATATTGAAAACATGGAGAAAATTAAAGACCCAATCGTATAAGCTTTGAAAAATGGAAGTAAATTAAGCATGACAAGAATTTTTCTAATATACGTTGTTTGTATTACATTATTATCAATATTAACACTATTAACAGGTCGGAAGAATGTTCGTTAACTATGTACCGCATCATTACACCTTTTTTGACTTGTATAAAAAATATTATTTTTACATTTGCCGCAGCGATCAAGCAACATTCACAAAATACGGTAGTTATTAAAAATATTCTCTTTCAAAATATGTTATAAAAGAAAAAGTATTTTTGCAAATATTTTTTTTTACTTTTAGTACCTAATTGTAAATTACATGGATAAAACCATATCAATTCATATCAAAATAAAATACTCATAAATTATGTGGCTACCTTTATGATCCATTATTTATATATTTTTATAAAAACTCGGTAATGATTATGTTCCTTAAAAATGTCACTACTAAATAGAATATCAAAAACTAAATTCACATCACACGTATAAAATAATTATTTAGTTCGTCTTCATGACTTGATCTTTTAGTTCACTTTTCATATTTCATCTCACCTTATTTAATAAATTTTATTAAAATGTAAACAATTTGTGGTAATCTGTAATCTGTAAACTGATATTGTATTACAAGCATTGTTTGATAAGTATACCTAGATTATAAATTTAAATTTTTAGCTTGATTAAGGCAATATTCGAATGTATTAATTGTATGCACATTAGAGAGGTCAGCTATTCTTGAGTACAAAGAAATAATATACTTATAGGGTCTTCATTTTTTACTACTAAAAAAATATTTGCCTATTCGTCTCTTATTATATGCCGTAATTTATCTATCTTTTAATAGTCGTTCGTGGATACTAGCACAGTTTAAAGAATATATAATCTTTAAACTGTGATACTATAATTTAAACAGATCTTGATTTATTCATGAGAAAAAACAGATCACGTTTCTCATAAATTAAATAAATTAAAGTAGCTTTCAACAGACGAAAGACGAATTGTTTTGTCTATTCTAACATCATAAAAAAATGTTTTACAAGAATCCTTCGTAACTATATAAAATATTAATAATAACTGTATTGCACATTAGATCAATTATATGACGTGAGACAGGTTATAAAATAACAGTGATTGAGATAAATAAAACATTTTAAAAATTGCTTAACCGGCTTTTGGTTGCACCTTAGTCTTCGAACTGGGTACTTCAAGGGTACTTCGCTTACTTAGAGGAGATGAGCTCACTATTTTTGCTATATATTTCTTGCTGATGAGTCCCAATAAGGACGAACTTGGTCCAAGAATGACGTTCTCCTTAGCAAAGTCACAATTTAACGATGATTATATTCTTTATACTGTGGCAAAGGTAGAGTGTTTAAATTAAATTCCTATTTTTTGCTTTCTTTACTTTGGATATAATTCAATACCTGTTACGGTATTAACGAAAGGAGTAGTTGTTTTTCGAAGGGAAATATTCACTTATATTTTGTGTGATATAGGTATAGTTTTGTTTAGTTATTATTTTACGACCGTATTCATTTCTAATTAAAGCAGCGTGTAAAAAATTACAAGGTATAATTGAGATATCTATATAAATATGGTTCAGTAACATTTTATCTTCTGTTTGTGAACCAATTTTCTTTTTTTTAATTTTGTTCGGTAGCTATTGACAAGCTTTAGTCTTTGAAAATATTTATTTTTCCCAACCTTTATGAATTATGATTGACTAATATAATTAGCCTATAGTGAACATGAGCACCCTTAAATGTCGAACCAACATGGACAGATAGAGGATCGTGAAAAACAAACAAAATATTTTTCCCTCATTCCTGCAAACTCCCCCCTCTTTCTTTGCCACGCCTAGGTAAATGGTATGGGATAGAAAATAGATAATAGCAGAGCCACAAGCCCCGTCTGAAACGATTTTAAATCGCCCGAATTTTCCCTTCCCCTACTTCTCCTTGCCACTTCTGTGCCCCACCCCATGGAGGTCGATATATAAAACTGCTAGATTTAGGAAAATGAACTTTGGTTTCTGGAGATTTTAGTTTCACCTCCCCCTCTACTCTCTCCAACCAAGATTGTATAGAGGACCAAAATGTAAGATATAATCTGATTTTCGTTACTACCTTTCTTACCACAAGAAAGTTGACAATTGATTTTATAACTGTTATTAATGATTGAAACAGTATTATATTATCTGAGAGGGACCATTGATGCCTCTAAGGATCAGTCACTTTAATAATTATACCAATTTAATGTTACACTTGGAATGTTATTCATATCAAAAATAATATTTTGGTTGGTTTGATTACCAAAACAAGGAGAAGATTCTAATATCGATCCCGATATTTTTATAGGCGTATTCATTTTATTTTTTATTGATTCATCAATATTAGCCTTCAGCTATAGCTGTGGATTTCCATCCACCATGACGCTTTATTACGGTTATATCACCCACATCCCCAACTAGCCATTAATAAGTGTATTTGTTGTGAAGTCATCACCATCATCTACTAACTGTATAGTCCAGGGGACAGTGACGATTTTCGGTATTTATTTTCCCAGTCGGCAAACACGGATAGATAATTATAATTGTAGGGTTAGCAATTCTAAGCAAAATTTATATATTTTAGAGGGCATGTCCAATAGGTTGAAGCCAAAAATGCGTGATAAAATACTAAAACATTTTTCCGTTGATAAAAATAGTCCTAGTAATAAGAGGTATACTAAAGTTAAGTAAAAAAATAGTCTGATTAATCCGTGAGTATGAGTAATATATTTGGAAAGTTTATAAAATATACTTTCCAACAAGTAATGTACACAATTTTTTCTACGACCACAATTATTTAAAGAATGTTCCAGGTGTTTTGTATATTAAAGTGTACGCATAGAACACATAAATAAAATCATATATCACAATGTTTCACCTCACCAGTTGGTTCATTTATAGAAATAAAACATAATTGAAGATATTACAGAAGAAAATAGGGAGATAAATTACATTTACTTTTACACTTTTATATTGTGACGAAGTGACTAAATTTTATTTTTAATTCATCTTAAAAATGTATATTTTAATTAATTCCCGCCTGAGAACATGTAGAAGTTCTCCGTATTTCTGTTTCCCAGAAATTACCATTTTTCAACAATTGCGAGTACCCTCGTAGATTAAAATATTCTTACATTTGCCGAAATCCGAATGGGCATTTTTAGAGTCGATTTCGTATGGATTATCTACCTTTTTTTTTGTCAAAGACTATAAGGGCATTTTATTTATTTTTAAATTGTAATCAGTCGGATGTAGTAGTGGTATCCCCACTTTGTGGTACCGTGTCTTCCATCTTTCTTTACCGAAAAAGCATAAATTAAATCCCATCTGGGAATTACTCTCTCTTCTCGCTTGCCAGCCGCCGTAAACTTTTCTCTCGTGATTGCTAACAGCCGAAAACTATTCACCATTAGTGCCGTGAGTACCGTGATTTAGTTCATCGATTAACCCCGTTTATCTGCTAAGGTAGGAACCGTATTTTATTATTATTTTTTTATATTGGCTTTTATATAATTAGTTGGGACACCCGTGTGACAAGTAAAGAATTTCGATTCACATCCAGGATATATTATTTCATCCCTCAGTGGGAAACCGTTGACAATTTTTTTTATTTGAGGTTGGACCTAGACTAGACACCGAGTGCTCTCTCTGTCAACGACTACATCCAATTTCTTTTAAAAAAACAGCCCAGTTAACATCGAAGTGAGAGATCCGACCTGTTTGCGATTTTTTATTATTTTATTGTTTTATTTTTTTTTTCTTTTTCGGAGGTTCGATCCGTTTAGTGGGTTAGAGAGCTCTCTCTCCTGATGACGTCTAATTTCCCAAAAATTTATTTTCTTTTAATTTTTTATTCAGCCGTATTTGAATCAATCCCCGGCCACAATTAGTTATTGAATGAAGCCAGACGACTTCTGTAAAATTAAATTTACACATACGCTCTCGTTAGACTCTAGGCAAAATTCAAAAATATTATTTTCTACGACCGTCGTGGTCGCCGTCCAAAATATCGTGTAAATAAACCTTATTTATCAATTGGCGAGAATTTTGCGTTTCCATCGCTTGGGTATTAAGATACAAGGGGTCTCGGACAATTTTGAGTTCATTTATTGTTTGTTTGCATTTGATTACTGTCATATTTAAATTGTTTTCAATATTAATAATTTATTTTCATACATTTTCCGTATATTGGGCATTTCACGATTCCCAGTCCGATTAGCCTCCTGACCTAATAAAACATAAATATTTCTGTATGTTTAAATAATTTTCAATAATATTAATTTATTTTCATACATTTTCCGTATACTGGGCATTTCACGATTCCCAGTCCGATTAGCCTCCTGAACTAATAAACCATAAGTATTTCTATATGATTAAATAATTTTCGACTTTAATAATTTATTTTTATTAAATTTCCCGTCAATATTTAAATAATTTTCAACTTTAATAATTAATTTTTAAAGAATAGATTTTCCGAATGGAGGGAGCCGTTCCTAAATAATTACAGTTGTAATTAATTTTTTAGTAAATATATATTTTAGTACCTATTCCCGTGTTTCTCTTATTACTGGTTCTTAACCGTTTTCTTTCAGGGTACCGTAGGGTACGAGGTGTAAAGGAGATAAGTGTTTTAGTTTTATTTACTATAGTTTAGTGATTACCTAGCAGTGACCACCTGGAATTATTTTACCTCCACTGAGTTTACGTTAAGTACACTCTGGTGTACTATAGGGTCGCAGAGCAAACTGCGCTACCAAAACTGGCACCTGAGCAACCCCTATTCGGGAATCACCATTACAGCTCCATACAGACTCGCTGATTCACTGTAGGTGAACCAGAAACCTGTCACAATATAATAATTATTTTATTTAGAATTCACGAAACACTTATTACTGTGTAGTTTTAGTTTTTTTTACAGTTCTGACACAAGCCTACTCTACATTAATTATAATTATTGTTAGTTTCGTTATGTCAAATCATTTATACTAGAGATGTGAGGAAAAGACAGTGAACTGTGCAACGCCAATATCGTTGGGTGCGCGTGGTAGAAATGGTCCTCTAATTCTGCCAAAAACAGCTAAATTTTCATGTGTGTCTGTGTGTGTGTATCTGTCTATGTGTGTGTGTGTGTGTCTGTATCCTCCATAACTCATGAACCGATAAAAAGAAAAACACCAAATTTTAAACTTAAGCCTTTTTCGGGCCTGCGGTGAATAGATTAGATTTTTGGCAGAGTCGGAACATCTGGGGGGTACTTTATATGTGGTAATTTTTATATTATATGGAATATATCTGTTATTTACGTTTGCAGAAGAAAATTCTTTGAATAAAAGTTACTTACAATATTATTTTCTATAATTTCTGTCCCATACAATATTTTTTTTAAATGGACCGTATTCGAGATATTTAAGAAAATGTGTAAATTACAAATTTCGAAGAAAACTCAAAAACGGAAAGAGGAAAAAACATTAAATTTTAAACTTAAGTTTTATTTTTGGCCTCCAATAAACTAATTAGATTTTTAGCAGAGTTGGAACATCTGGGGGTACTTTGTTGGTGGGCATTTTTATATTTTATGGAATATATCTGTTATTTACGTTTGGAGAGGAAAATTCTTTTTATAAAAGGTACTTATAATATTATTATCTATAATTTTTGTTTTATGCCAAATTTTCCTAAAATGGTCCGTATTCGAGAAATTTGACAAAATGAAACAAAAATTATTTTTTTTATAAACATTGGTAAAACAAAAGTTGTTTGTAAAATAATTTTGTATAATTTTTATTCCATACAAAATTTCTTTAAAATGGACCGTATTCGAGATATTTAAGAAAATGTGTAAAATAAGAATTTTGAAGAAAACTCAAAAACGGATAAAGGAAAAAATATTAAATTTTAAACTTAATTTCGGCCTGAGGTAAAATAATTAAATTTTGGACAAAGTCGGAACACCTGGGGGGTACTTTATAGGAGGTCGTTTTTATATTTTAATGACTATATCTGTTATTTATGTTTGCAGAAGAAAATTGTTTAAATAGAAGTTACTTCTAATATTATTATCTATATTTTTTGCTTTATGTTAAATTTTCCTTAAATGGTCCGTATTCGAGAAATCTGATTTTTAAGAAAATTGTTTAACTAAAAGTTGTTTGGGATATCAATCTCTATAATTTTTTTTTCATGATTTTTTTAAAATGGACCGTAATGGAAAAATTGGAGGAATAGTGCTAAACAAAATAACCGAAAAAAGCCTATGATAACTAGATAGGAAAGTCATGTGTTGGACACATAAGATTTTTTAGTTGGTTATGAAGCTCATCAGAGGATACAATTGACATCCGAAGTTAATTAAAAATTGTATTAACGTCTGCACGTAAATCTTCCATTAAGCAAATGAATGAGCCCACTTTATCTCTTTTCTGATTAATTGGGTGCACCTAGTACCTATATACGATTATGTCGTTTCCCATATGACGGTACAAAAGCCACATGGCAATGGTGCGCTTTCGAATCATGTCAATAACGAACTGACATAAAATAAAATAGCTAAAGACGGTTTACGGAAAAGAAAACCGTCGAGTGTGAATTCTACTAAGACACGGAAAAAATTCATACGAATTTTCTCCGTACGAACAAAACCGTTGTGTCTGAAAGAGTACATACAATTTAAATCGCCTAGCCGGATCAAGGCAGAAAAGCGCGATAGGCTGTGTCCAGGCCGTTGGTGTTTATGCCGGTTGGCGTAGCTGGATCGAAATTTTCTGGTGGCGTCGAAGCCGCCTCCCTTCGAGAGGTCGTTGCTACGTCTTCTTGTTGTCACGGCAATATTATTATTTGTTCATGTATGTGAAACTTGCTTCTAAGGTTTATAAAATAATAATAATAAATGTAATAAACATAAGCTTAACCTCGAATTTTGATCAATACCAACAAAATAATATTAGATTTAATTTGAACAATTGGGTCGTCCGGCCGTGCTCTGACTCAGGCGCTTGTATAAAATTGTGTGTTGTGCTTTGTATTTTGAATTCAACGAAATCATTTGCGGTAAAAAATTTGTTTTTTTTACGATATTTTTTGGCGAAAAGTTTTGTTTTGTGTTTTGTATGTTGTGAATCAAGGTTTATTGGAACAGGTGGCGCATTATCTTTTAAAGGTAGATAGTGTTAATCACCAAGTATTGTACTAATAATTTTGAAGTAAAATACCAAAGAATCTATTGCTTCTAATACGAGAATACGAAAGGTATCAGTTGCTGTGGGATCGGATACATAAAGACCATTTCAACAAACAAAAGCAAAATGAAACATGGACTGAAATTGCCAAATCACTGACATAGATGAAGTGAAAAAAAAGACAAGTTTATTGGGTTCATTTTGGCCCGTATTTATAAACAAAACTCAGCTGAGTCGAACTTGGGCAAGTCGTTCTTGAACGAAAATCGAAGTTCAGTAATATCGCGTGAATTAAGAGATGGGTAGTAACAAATCCGTAAATATACATAACAGTTACAGATTTGCTAATATCCATCTCTAAATTCCAGTGTAATACCGGAACCACCTGGAACTTTAGAGACGTTGTAACCGAACTTCGATTTTAGTTCAAGTCCGACTTAGGTAAGTTCTGTTTATAAATATGGGCCTTAGACGAGAGCGCAAAAATCTCTTTAATGTACCTATAAATTAAACATATCTTCAGATTTAGAGACATGACGGTACACTCGTATCCTCAAAATAATGTAATTTTTTAAAACTTTAGAGATCAATTCTTCACATTCAAGATAAATTCTTTACATTCACACAAGCGTTCCACACAAGTCTGTTTAAAGTCGTTACAAAAACCGACAGGCTGTTGGATATTGTTAATTCTCGGATAACTTTTCTCTAAACCGTAGTCAATCGAATTATGTATAAAAATTTTATATGTAAATAATATCAGTGGAACGTGTTTTCAGAAAAAAATATTTATTATTGAGGAATCTATGTTGAAAACTTTCCGTTGTATTTTATTCAATTGTTTTTTTTTTTACATTTTAAAATGTCGGAATATACTTTAAACTATATTATTTTGTATTCAATTAGTTCAAGGTTTGTAAATTAGACTCAAAAATGTGTTCTGGTCGCTAAATGAACGCATCAACTGCATATTTAAAATTTCTCACAATCATTCAATGTCAATTTAAATTCATCATCTCGTCGGATATTTAATGATGAAAGTGTGTTGTTAAATATCTGCATAATATAGAAAATTATATGTCAATCAAATACATAATTATTATTTATGCCATTTGTATAAATAAACAGTGCGTGATAAAGCTAGATTTTTTTAACCGAAGCAAATTAACCATAAGTAATTTATATTTTTTACTGCAGTTTTGCATTTCTTGGATAAATTGATGCAATTACGTATTTTTTCGCTAAAACACACCTAAAAATTATATAAGTGTTTCAAACAAAGAAAACAATTTTTATCCACCCACATAGATAATATTTATTTTAGGCATTGATTACAAAACGAAAAAGTATGCCATTGTTTTCTGACGAACGAATATAATTTTATATTCATTCTAGTAGGTAAGGGCACTGTACCAATATTAAATCCACCAATCATAGTCTGGTCACCAAGGGCTACTATTAGTATTTGGAATTAAATATAAATAAAAATAAGTGATTCTTATAAAGAATCGATAAATAATAGCATTCCACAAGATTATCTATATTTACAAATTTACAAATTTGCTATTGCTATAGTAAACCCTAATTGTGGATACAATGTATGTACAAAATGGATAGTAACTCCAAAATTATGATTTTTGTTCTAGACTTATAACAAGGAACTGGAATTCGTAGCACAGTGTTGGATTAATGAATGTCATGATGATATTTTGGTCCATGATAAATGTAGACGAATTTGTAAGTATATCATTCTTTACATGATCATTATACAGGGCGAGTCAATAAAACGAGACGATTTGGGAACGTCACTGCATGAAAAGTTTAAGGGAAGTGGGTTTGGGCCATCAACATTCAAAATCTAGAAAGCAGAAAGTTAGTTATTAGGTGATTGGGCATTTGTCGTGTAGAGTGCGATTACAATAAAAAGAGCACAGCTTCGTCATCTGGTGGCGGAGTCATTTGTTGGCTATCGCCGCCTAGTGGTAGTTTAGTAGCGTGTTAATAATATATACATACATGTTCTTTATTTATTGGTAATTATAGATGATATATTTTAAATTCGAAGTAATAGTTATGACGTAGCTGTTTCTTCTTATTGTAATCGGATTTTCTGGGTTCCTAAAAACAAATCGTTTCAAAGTTACTCCCCAAGGACTATACATATGATTTGACTTGAAGAAGCTGCAATTCCGCTAGAACTGCTACCCATTTTTATGGACTACTTTGCAATCAGGCTGCAAATATCTGTATGATAAAATGTAGCCCATCTTTTTGACATAATTTTTCAAAAATTAACGATTGTGCATTTTTACATTACTTCCATTCGTTAGGTTATGTTTTCATCAACAAATTTTACATTCGTTTCTTTTCATTGGCTCACCCTGTCAGATTAAGCTACATAAAATAAATTATTTACTGGCAGATATTGTGCAAAGAAGATGCTAAGTTTTTTAAGCTAAATTTTATTTTTAATGAGAATAAAATTAATGTAAAATATTGTTTCATCAAAATGAAATTGGTCACTTAAAGCGATACCTAACAACATTTTAGCAATTACAAACATTTAGAAATATGGTTTGAATTTAAATTTTTATGTCAATCACTTCATAACGTTAAACTAATATTTATATACAGTGAATACGTATAGGTTGGAAAAAAATTCAATATTTTTCTGTCTAACAGTATTTTAACAGCTTAACTAGCAAGGAGGTATTTATGTTTCGACGTTCTAGACCATGTATCGATTTTGACATAAACCTAAAAAAAACCTTTTTAGCCAACCTATTTATATATAAGATATTAATATGCAGTTCCTGTGAGATTTTTTAATCCTTATATGAGGCGTTGGTCTATAGTATGACAAAGGATGCCATAGACCAGTTGACTCATATATGAGACACAAAAAAACTAAATTTATGTAAACTAAAGAACATTTTTATTAAAATATAAATCCAATCAAGTTCTTTGGAAACAAAATACCAAGATCCAGGTGGAAGCAAAAATAGAAAACTGAAAAAAAAAACACGAAAATGGGGTAATTAGATATAAAAACAAACTACCTAATGGCTGCCTTCATGATGCTCTTGGAAACAAGAATCGACACACAGCCCAACCAGTTGGCCATTTTTATCTTTAGAGTTCTCACAAACAAAAAATGTTTGACTTATTTTCTTCTTTGGGGAACAAACCCGGCCCCTTCTTCGTTTCTCGTTTTTTTTTTTTTTTTTGATAATGGGCAGTAGGTTTCGCCATAATTTTTCTTGGTGATGGTGAAAATTTAAAATAGTTTTCTAAATTATAAGTACGACATCTTTTTTTGGCTTTATTATGCATATGTCAACATAATGGAAAAATACCTTTAGGTACCATCTAATAGTTTTTAGGGGTATGATGTAAAAAGAAAGCATTTGGTCACTCCTAGTCTATCACCACTGCTGGTTTCTCGTTTTCTTTCCTCGTTTATTAGTAGTTTTTTTTTCAGATCCAGATTTATGCAACGTCGTTATCATATATTATACATCTTCAAAACCATTACACTTTTTTTAATGCTTTCTCCTTTATATAATTTTTTCTGTTTTTTCGTAAGGTTCCTACTAAATGAGTCTTGTTTTCATAAAAGTATTCTGCAAGCTATACGCTATTGTAATAGTTCTCTAAATTCAAAGTGTGACCATTTACAAAATATCTTGCCCCTAGTTTTGTAACTAAAGCATGTGCATGGCAAATCTCAGTATGAAGTGTATCCTTATCAGTATAAACTAAACAAGCCAGTATAAAGCCGTCTGGGGTGCAGAGCTCGTACAACTTTATTCCATATTTCGCTCTTTTGTTGGGAATGTACTGACGAAACGTTAATCATCCGCGCCAGAGTAACAAAGCCTCGTCTAATAAAAGGATTCGTCCAAAATAATAAAGCTTGTGTATGTTTTGATTATTATGGTTAAGAACTTGTTTACTTTTATGTAAACGGGAAGTTTTTATATCATCTTTTTTGATAAAGCACAAACACATTATAATTGGTTCCTTGACATTGTTTTACCAAATATTGAGTGAGTATAATATAGTGTAATGGTACTCCAGTAGCACTCATGCTTGGATTAGTTATATCTCCCATTAGCAAGCATAAACCAAGAAAACGGCGAAACTCTTTGGGGGTAGTTGGTTTCCACTTCCTTATTATGGAATGCTTTTGTATCGTATTGTCTATAACCGACTATGCGCGTAGAATAATCCATTCACAAATTATTTCAATGAGGCCGTCAGCAGACATTTATTTAAATACTTCTATGGCAGTGGTCTCATTTGAAATTTTTACTTTCAAGTACTCAATTTGTAAAAAGTCAAATACCTTTGGGTCGTCGTCCATTTTGGCCCAGTTGATGTCATCTTGATCATTTGCTGGATATGCCTTGAGTTAGGACAATATCAGCGGAATTTTCATCAGTATCGTTTACTGGTTCATCGCTGAAATGGTCACTGGTATGTTTAGAATTATCACCTATGATCTCGAGACAGGAATGAAACTTCCCACCGAGGTTTCTATACTATTTTATTTACAACCGTCATATTTTGATCAAAATTAATAAATCTCTTTAGCAAGACATAAAATCAAACATTAAACGAACCTCTTAAAGTACCTGCCAAATTCATTGGAGTACTCTCAATACAAAACTGCATAAAGTTTAATCCAGTATTACCACTATGACCAGAAAAGACAAAGCCATAATAAGACTTATTTGTATAAATACGAATACATTATTTTAAAAACACGTGAAACAAAAGGATTGGGTCTCGCCTCTTTTTAAAATTTTAAATTGTCTGTTATTGTCCCTTGATAAGTGTTTAAAATTAAAATATTGACTGCACCCGAAGATGGAAAGTAACAATTGTTTTCTGAAAATTATGTAGTACTTCATAAACAAAAACTAGATCGACATAATCAAGGAACTTTTATTTATTAATATTAAATATTTCAATTGGAATATGTTAACAATTATTTGATTTTAGTTTGAGGTTTACTTATAATAACCTGTTCAATAGGTAAATATTTTGGTGATATACAGGGTGGCTCACGCTCAACGGGACGGAGCTTTATGGGAAAACGACCAAAGATATAAAAAATTCGTTTGGGAGGAATACGTAGGTTACAGACGGCTACAATTTAAAATTTGTTAGATGTATACAGGATGTCCCACATAAGAGAAAATATACAAAGTTATATTATTTTTAATGGAACACCCTGTTTTTAATTTTAGAATTAAAAACTACATCAAAAATAATGTCAGTTAACTAAAGGTTCCCTATTACTATTATTATTAGTTTTCGATTTATTTGAATTTTTAAGGAAAAAAAGTCTCCCAGAAATTAATTGTTTACTCTTGTTTGAATAATTTTTAATGAACTAATTTTTTTTTCTTATGTGGGACATCCTGTATACATCTAACAAATTTTTAAATTGTAGCCGTCTGTAACCTACGTATTCCTCCCAAACGAATTTTTTATATCTTTGGTCGTTTTCCCATAAAGCTCCGTCCCGTTGAGCGTGAGCCACCCTATATATTTATTTAAATATTCATATTAATAATGTAAAACTCATGTTATTTTAATAAAAGTTTCTATACAAATACGAGTGTGTTACCCGTCTATCATCGAAACATTGATGCTGTGATGCTTTGGTACATCCGACAAATAGTGATTTGGTCTTAGTTTAGGGTGACCATACTTAGAGCATTATCCTGTATTGTACAGCATTTTTAAAGTATGTGCGGCATTTGATCTTGTACAGCAAACGTACAGAAACACGCTGTATTTGTTCAGCTAAACGCTGTATTTGTCTAGCAATGTAATGCATAATTTACTGAAATGTAACAAATAAGACAAGAACGAAAAACATGACTTCTCTGTTGTTGTATTTATCTTTGGGGAACTAAAAAAAAGGTACCCGATATCCTCTACATGACGTCTCTGTTTTTGGATATTTTTCATTTGGATTTAAAAAAAAATTGTATTCCTGTTCAGCATTGCGTCAAAATAAATATGACAACCTTTCGAAGTTTATATGTATTTAATTCTAAGAATACCTTTCTCTTACTTTTGCAGTTTTCATGATATCGACGTAAATAGTTATAAAATCAGTAAGTTTTTTGAAGGTAAATAAATATTTACATAATTTTGTGCCATTTACGGTCATAAAATTTTGAAATATCAAGAATATATTGTGTCTGATAGGATATAAAAAAAACCAAATTTTTTTAATATGATTTTAAAGAGAATTTTTACTTTTGAAACATATATTAAACTCTTTTCCATAGGACGATTTTTGAACAACATATGCAATTTATAATTAGAAATGAATAAATTCAATTTCTACTACTTATACAATTTTATCTATAAAATGTCAAAATGATTTAAATGATAATTGTGTTTCGACAGTCTCAAAATATTAAAAAAAAATAATTTGGCAGATTTTCTCTTTGATGGATTTTGTCATTTTAAAAGTGTAAAATACCTGCCCGCCTGTGATTCAGTAACATTTTTATAATCGCCATGATCTTATTAAAAATTAAATCTTTACAAAATAATAAAATGCAAGAAATGTATAATCCTGTATTGCTCGTGACTCCAAACAGATTTAAAAATAAATAAATGTTCATTAAAATATTAGTTATGCGGAAATAAATTCACAAGTTTATGATTTTTTTTTTGTCTAAAAATTAATGTTCTAACAATATTATTAA